CTCAAAATTTAATACATTATAAATTACTAATCTCAAAATTTAATACAATACACAATCTAATAAACTATTTTCATAATAAAATAACGAAATAATTCTATCTAATTTTCTACACAATCTATATTTTTTTTATTTAATATCAAAATATATTTTTACAATTAATATTAAAAAATAATCAATTAACAAAAACACAAATTAAACACAAATTCAAGAAATATCAGTTATTAAAAACAAAATTTAAAGTTTAACAACATTCTATCATTTCAACAATTAAATAGAAATTTTATTTTCAGATTTTAATAAAAAATACAGAATAATTAAAAAAATTTGAAATAAAAAGAAAAAAATTCGAAAAACTCACTTATATAGGTAGATTAGAAACCAAAAAACTTGCAAATGCTCAGATCAAGCCCAAATCAACAGCTAAACATAGCAGATCTGCAAATATGGTATATGCTTAAACTGTCGAACAAAAAAAAAATTGTTAGGCTGCAGAAAAAAAAAAAAAAACATCAGCAAGATCGCCGGCCTAAAACCGACTGAAAAGAGTTATATACCTCGGTCGCTGGCCAGAGATTGGAGGAGGAGAAGCTTGCAGCGGAGAGGAAGAAAAAGAAAGAAAAAACAGAGGAAAATTCCAGATCAAATGCAGAATGGGGGGGGGACGGCCGAGACACGGGGAAGAAGGCTGCATGCAACCTTATACAGACCGATCCCGGTCTGAAAAACATTGCAGGTGGGCCCCAGAGTCCAATCAACTCAGAGATTCCCTAACCCAATTTTCAGACCGATACCGGTCCGTATAATTATTTACGGACCAATCCCGATCCGTATAATAAAATAATATATACGATTTTGAAATTAATGTATACGGACCGAAATCGGTCCGTATACATCATTTTTGTAGTGTAGGGACCGATCTCGGTCCGTCTAATAATATACGGACCGGGATCGGTCCGTATATATCATTTAAAAAAATCAATAAAAAAAACAGATTTATTTTATTTAATAATTACGTAATATTACCAAATAATGCAAAAATATATT